TTAACCCTTTCGCTACGGCAGCTCCATCCGCCGAAGCACCGTCACCGAACGGAAACTCGCTCCGGAAATATGCACGGCGCGCGTGGTTTCTGTATATGTGTTGTTCAAGTCTTGAATAATAACTGTGCCGAATAAAACAATCGTTGCTCTGATGTGACAAGTATATTTACATTTTTAATTTAAAAAGGCCAACGTCGCAATCTTTGCACTCGTACCGCGAATCCGTTCTTTTATCATTTTTGCTACAAATTACACATCCGCGTCTTCTGTGTACACTTCATTTCGATGCCGCATATATGCGGCGCTCGGCGCGAAAGGGTTAAGACCGTCGATTGCTGGGAACGAGAAAGTGCACCAGCTCTTAGGGCAACTCACCAAAACCAAGAACCATTACAAACTCTCTATTTACCCTTCCATAATCGACCATCTATCTGAAAGACTGATCTAATCCGAACCCGTTTCAGTTTCCGCAAGTGGTCTTGCTCGCCTGTTGCTTGTTCCTGTTGGATCCATCGGTGAGGGCGGAATCCAGCGAGAAGGAATTGCGAGCTCGAGCATCGGCCCAGCTGGAGCGGTTGGCGCCGTATCGCAGGTCATCGCCGGACCCAGGTCCATCGGCGGATCAATCGCAGTCGCTGGAGACCTCGTCGGACGATCCTGTGAGCACTTATCTGGACGAGCGTCGAGTAGGCTTGGAGATCTATCAGATCCTGCCTGAAGACCTGCAAGAGGACATCGTGAAGAGGGGCAGCGTGGCTGTTCTGGAGCTGCTCGAGAACCCGAAGTACGTGGCGATGATGCAGGAACGGATAAAGAGGTCCGGGGCCGACGAAGGATACGAGACGAAGCGGGACGGATACAATTACGCGGAATACGACCGGCCGCCGGAAGGACATCCGCCGGAAGGATACGGGGAATACGCGCCGGAACCGTACGGCGGCGGTGGAGATAACTACGGGCAGCCAGCAAACTCAGGATCCGACTCCGGAGGCATCATACAGGGATCATCGAGCCTGATCGGCGGCATAGCCAAGGGCATAATCGGCGGACTGGTCAGTGCATCGGGCAGCGCATCGACCGGCTCGTCTTCGGTGTCCGCTTCGAGCTCCGCTCAAACCTCCTCGAAATCGGCCGCATCCTCGATGGACCAGAGGAAACCAGAACCTTACGGACACTACGGGCAATACGGATACTATGGACCCCCTCACCCGGTAACTATGTAATTATTCGCAAGAATTTGACGATACGCACACGCATACATTACACGCGATCACTGCGAGCTCTCGAACGGAGCCAGGGACTTCTACCGAGGTGCAATATACCGGTATTTTTCGATTCTGCCTTCGAAATCCTTACGAAAACCGAAAACACGAATAATTGTCGGTCATTTTTTCGGTTTCTCTATTTCATTACAATTTCCAAAGTACTTTTATCCGCGGATAATCAAACCAGTTTTCTATTTGCAATACCACAATCGCTATGATACGGAGGTCGGAGTAATTACTAACATAGGAAAAAGTTAAGAAACGTCTTGCACAGATGCATATTCTTGGGTGCAGTCAACATTCTTAACATATGATAATCTTGATAAAATCTTATAAATATTAAAATTAAATTAAATTAATATTAAAATCGAAAATATTAATTTTATATTTTTATAATTCTTCTTTTGCAACCATTTATCTTTATTTTATTTTTGTATTTTTTATTTCTTTTTTATTTGCCGTACGCATTAGATAAGACAATATTGCAATATAAAGAACATTTTTCATTTAATAAGACTTATATTTGTTAGAATATCAAATTTTACTAACATGTTAACGATATGTGATGTTTCTTAACGGTAAGTGGACATACTACATTTGACGAGAAAAATGAAATATTATATTCCTTTTTTGCGGCTGTACTTACGCTATCGTATTTTATTATACTAAAATATATTCATATTTTTCTATTAGGTATAACATTATATGAAGATTTTTATAATTAAAATATATAAAAAATATTCATATTTTTCCATTAGGGTATAACATACGAGTATTTTTATAATGAATAATATCTTATTAGTATTTGCCATGTGGCCAAACGGAAAACTGAGAAAACACATATTATTTAATTCGTTTTCGATCGCAAATCGATTTCATAACGATTTCGGTATTGTAACGATTTTGGTATTGTGACGATCTTGGTATTGTGACGATTTTAGTATTCAAACAGTATTCAGTACCGTGACGATTTCGGTATTCTATCGATACAGCTTTATTAGCGCAATACCGGTATCAAAATCATACCGGTTTCAAGTCCCCGATCGAAGCACACTATCGACGCGCGGACTTTCTATATAAGCAACCGAGAGGGATCGTCGGCGAGACGATGTGCGTGGATTTCTGGTTGCATAGCGAAGGTACATGGCTTGCGTTTTATCGGCGATCATGTCGGAATACATTAATTCTAGCTCGCTCGGCCGCGGAAGTCCCGGGAATCACGGAAACAAGCGAATGCCGGCTGCTGAATGCCGGTACCGCTTCGGAACGAGGCCGTGTTTATCTTTGGAAATTTTTCGAAATTCGTGAACGAAAGTCGTCCGGTTTGTTTCGACGAAGAAGTGGAAGGCGGACGCTTTCGCGAATCGTTTCGGACAGGAATTCCTAGGACGGAATTGGTAGGAACACGACAGCTTTGTCACGATCGAAACGTATCCGTATGGAGTTCGAATCAAACTACGCGCGCACGAATATACTTACCTACTCTCTTTTCTTTTCTTAGACCGTAGAACAGTGGAATTGTGGTAGAATTAGAAATGTTATAGAGAAGTTAGCCCGATATATTTACCGTATAAAAGAAAATCACTATCTGGGTCGTCGAGGCTGCAATTATGGAGGGAAATCTTAGCTGGTTCTCATCATCGCCCCTTGTTCGATCGGCTTTCAAACGTCCGTGACTCGGTTTTTCACCGTCATCGAATAATTGTTTCCACGGAAGCGCGAGACGTCACGATCGAACGGTGTCCCCCGCCGTGTCGTAAGATCCAGTCGATTAACGTAATTGAACGACTCGAATTCTTTGTACAGACATTGCCGGACTTGACAGTGATTAGGTTCAATGGTACGAGGATTAGCGAATGTCGATTAAATCAAATGGTTCGAATGTGATCCTGTAGGGACCGACGACGCAAAGGACACGCAAATATCGATTGATAAGACTGAAATTGAAAATATGAGACTGTAAGAATTTAAGGAAAAGAAATTCTCTTTTTTTTCTCGCGGGCGACAGTTGCCGTTGGCATGAACTTAAATATCAGCTATATTGCGAGGGACGAAGAAAGATCGCACGTTATATTGCTGCTAAGATATAAGCATTTCATTCCGTTAGAATAGAGGCTGTTTTTATAATAATCAATGCTGTACCGAGCAATCTATAATATTCAATAAAGTAACGATTCTATTGCATTTCGATCGACTTGTACACGTGTCTGTCTTAGCTTAATGAAATTTTTCTATGATAGTACGCCAGTTCTAAGCAGTTCACCGTGTGGGACTTCAAAAAGGCGATCTTTAGCACATTAATGCAGGCTGTTAAAGCCATTAGTGGCGGTGTGATTGCTTTGAAAGGTCAGCTTATCAAGGGAGGTGGTTACCTTGTCTCGACCCAAGGCAAAATGATTGCCAAGACAGGAGACGCGATCACGTCTTTGGGTACTAATATCGCGAAGAATGCTGCGCACCCGCCGGCAACGCACCATGAGTATGCTTACGATCATCCTTCGATAGCTGGTAAGTTTTCGAGAGAATTCTTTTATCTGGATCAGCGGTAGCGAACTATTTTATCCGCAAATGCCAAAAACTCGTCTCTATCGCGTGCTGAGCAATTTTTAATGAACATTGAATAAGATGCCATTTTCGCAGTATTATAGTGTAACACTTTTAAAAGTCATTTAACGTGAAAACGTATAGTGAAACATTTTTTGAAATTATATAATATAAAAATAAAGTGTAACATTTTTCTAAAAATTACGCAATGTGAAAACATAAAGTAAAACATTTTTGAGAATTATATGATGTGAAAGTATGAAGTGAAACATTTTTAAAAATGACGTCAATGTAACGTCAATATAACCTTAACAATCGAAAACAATAATTGAATTGAGTGTACAATGGTACGAGAGTCATTAGTTCGATATCACTGATTTAGACAGTTCACTGCTTTCTTAACTTTTTAATGCTACATTTACAAAGACCATCTTGTAATTATTAATTTTTAAAAGAATTTATTTGGAGAACACCTACTTCGCATGCTTCTTTTTTCGATGGTAGTTACTAGACCGCGGATCTTTATGCGTTAATTTGTAAAATGTAATAAAACGTGTAAATTAACAACAAAACCAATCATGGCATTTTTACTATATATTTTCGAAGAAGAATCTTTTGATTAACGAAGGAAATTTTTGTCTAATTCTGATTTGTCTAAAATAACATGGAAACAAAAATTTGTTAAAGATCCGCAGTCTAGTAGTTACTGTTCGAAAATATTTATTTACACAGAAACAAGAACAATTTATTTGTAATACGTACAGCGTTTAGTTCAAACGTTCCATTTAAAAATGTTATAAAAAAACCATTCGACTTTGTTATGTTAATAAACTTATTTAACGAACTAGGCAAAAAAAAAAACGTAGAGAATCGAGAAAGGAACTTATAATTTCATAACCTTCTATATAAGATCAGTTTATCAATTTCTCGTGAAATGACCTATTTTCAAAAAAGTCTTTGCTCGCTGAAAAAAATTATTAACCACCCTGCGCGTCTCAATTAAAAAATAAACTAAACATTATGCCGAAAATATCACGAAATATGCTTGCTTAACAAAATATCGCGGTGTCTGCTTCACAAATACTTTTGACCTAATTTCACAATGAAACGGTAGGTCACGAGGAAAGCTATGACGGGCCTCCGCCAGGTATCGAGGGCTATAGCGAACCAAATGACGGTTACCACGCAAATTTGAATTACGACTCGCCATCGGACGGTAAGACTTTCTATCATTACGGTGCCTGGTTAACCCCATATGCCGCCACTGACAATTTTCAACTTTATAATCAGCCGCTAATTCGTTGGAATTAAACTAGACGACGGTGATTACATCGTTACCGTGGAATGCATGCGAGAATAAATACGTACCGTCCGCCGATTATAGTGGCTGACGTGTCACACGGCCGTGTGCCCGTGAAAAAGATCGAAACAAAAATTCGGTGAGAGGCGTCGGAAATCCGAGGAGTCCGTTGTACGTTTTGAAATAAAGAAAGTAAAAGCGGTCTTCGCTTTCAAACGAGATTCTAATCTCCGGAACTTTCCTCTCTGTGCCGGAGCGAGTGACTCGGGTCGGCCGAGGCTGCTCGGAATTCTGTATTGGCATCCCGAACTCTGTTGCTGCGGGTCGTTATTCGGTGCTTCGAGGTTCATTGTACCTCTGCGATCCTCGCGAACGCGTGTCATCGACACCTCCGCGTTTCGTATCCCAGCTCACTCGAGCACAGGTTCGTCTAGGGTGACCGAAACGCGATTTTCTCGTCGTTTTCGCAGAGAATACGCTCCTTTACTTTCGCCGCCGAAGAGACCTTCGCTATTATATCGGAAACTTTTGCGCAACGCACTTTCACCGAATCCACCTTTTCGGTCAGTTTGACGACCGAAATGTATCTCATCTCTTCCCTCTTACTAATCGAAGCTTTTGCAAAAACGTTGTACATATTCATGAGTTTATCGCGTTCTGTAGCTATTTAGAGTTGCAAGATTTACGTATGTGTGTGCATGTGTAACTGCGTGGATGATTTATAAGATATGTAAAAAGTTGGAAAGTTCTCAGTTTTTGCAACGTTTTATTATGTAAACTTGGCTCTGAATTGGGAGAGAGTATGAAATTAAAAGAACTAACCTTTCATTTCACGAAGTAGAAAGAAATAATATGTAGTGTCGGCGCATTCATGAGATAACAATGGATTAATACTTTCATTATTACATTGTCTGTATATAGTTTTATATTAATAACATTTTATATATATATATATATATATATATATATATATATATNTTGTACGTTTTGAAATAAAGAAAGTAAAAGCGGTCTTCGCTTTCAAACGAGATTCTAATCTCCGGAACTTTCCTCTCTGTGCCGGAGCGAGTGACTCGGGTCGGCCGAGGCTGCTCGGAATTCTGTATTGGCATCCCGAACTCTGTTGCTGCGGGTCGTTATTCGGTGCTTCGAGGTTCATTGTACCTCTGCGATCCTCGCGAACGCGTGTCATCGACACCTCCGCGTTTCGTATCCCAGCTCACTCGAGCACAGGTTCGTCTAGGGTGACCGAAACGCGATTTTCTCGTCGTTTTCGCAGAGAATACGCTCCTTTACTTTCGCCGCCGAAGAGACCTTCGCTATTATATCGGAAACTTTTGCGCAACGCACTTTCACCGAATCCACCTTTTCGGTCAGTTTGACGACCGAAATGTATCTCATCTCTTCCCTCTTACTAATCGAAGCTTTTGCAAAAACGTTGTACATATTCATGAGTTTATCGCGTTCTGTAGCTATTTAGAGTTGCAAGATTTACGTATGTGTGTGCATGTGTAACTGCGTGGATGATTTATAAGATATGTAAAAAGTTGGAAAGTTCTCAGTTTTTGCAACGTTTTATTATGTAAACTTGGCTCTGAATTGGGAGAGAGTATGAAATTAAAAGAACTAACCTTTCATTTCACGAAGTAGAAAGAAATAATATGTAGTGTCGGCGCATTCATGAGATAACAATGGATTAATACTTTCATTATTACATTGTCTGTATATAGTTTTATATTAATAAAATTTTATATATATATATATATATATATATATATATATATATATAAAAATCTGCAACTAATAATTATAAATGGAAAGGGGTTGTACCATAATATAATGTTCGCGTTAAATACATTATTATATATTGCAATCTAACGGTTCATGGTCAATATAAATAAAATAGTGACTAAAATAATTGTAAAAATTACCTATTATGTTGTAATATGTCGTGTACAGACAGTCCCGAAAGTCTACATTTACCTGACAATTTGTAAATATTCGAAACAAAAAACAAGGAATTGGATATTTTTCGAACATTCATTGATTCATTGAAATTAGATAAATTCTAATAAAGATTCTTAGTAAAAATTACAAATTGCGTAATTGTAGAAACGTTTATCAGTAGTTCGCGAATCTCTATCTTTGTTCCATTCAAATCTATATAACCAATCAAGCAAATACCAATTGATTCCAGTTTCTGTAAATGTGTCGGTAAAAATTGAAATTTGCATAAACAATTGTAACATACATAGTTATTACGTATACATGAAAGTAGGTAAGTACATACGCTACACCAGAAAACTAGAGAACCAAGTTCAAGGATATGAAAGTAGAGACTTCACTCTTTAAAATGAGCACAGGCAGAATGTTGTAAGGTCTTTTTACATGAAATTACAGGAGTTGGAATTGATAATTAGTGAAACTTTAATTTTTTGGGGTAGTGTATCTTAACAATACATTCTACACCTTGAAAACTGTATGATAGATTTCGTCGTTTTACATTTCTCAGACGAATGTGCAGAACATCGTAATTTTCAAAACCTGTTTAATTTTAATGAACCGTTTGGTGTATGTAGACTTTTACGACTAGTTATGCCAATCGTATACAACACTATTCTTATGAGTTTCAACACTAATTTACAAATCGCTTGTCCCTGCATTCTCAGTTTTTATGGAATTTTATATTGGAAAAAGATCAAAGTTTAAAGTTAAAATTATTCTTTTTTTAACCGTGCGTATCATTTTTACGCAGGACAATCGTATCGATAAATTCTCAATTTCATTAAACACACAGTATTTTTAACATTACAATTAATATTATAAAAAATACTCTATTAAATACTCTATTATAAAAAGATATTATAAAAAAATATTTGGAAATATCTGTCGAATCTTTTTGCGTAATAAACTTTTTTGTAGCCGAAACAGATTTGTCTTTTCGAATTGGAACTCAGGTACTGAGGAAAATAGAACAAAAGAATTCGAAGATTCGTATAGACTGCGGGTTTTATGTACTTTTAACAGAAATGAGTGAGAGCAATATAAAACGGTAGAAAGATTAAAGGATTTCAAGGATGTTAATCTCAACTCGTTAAGATTGCTAAGATTAGAAAGAAACTTTTATCCGACCACTGCTTATTACAAATAACACAGACAATTTTCATTTCACACGAAGATCCGCAGTCTAGTAATCCAAGCACAAAGTCAAAGATCCCTTGGTGGTCATAAAAGGATGAAAATCTTGACTTTTGTAAACCAATGTAATACAACTCCAGGCAACAAGTATTTGGTTAGAAGAAATAGTAACGAATTAATGATTAAAACGAGATTATTTACACCCAAAATGTTACGATATAAATATATGTCTTGTTATTTTTAAAATCGACATATATATATATAGAATGAATACGCAACACATAATTAAGATTTTAATTTACGTTCTTGAAAAAGGATAGAAGAATAGAATATAAGTTTGCACAAAGACGAGCAATAATTTGCTTTATATTCGCAGTATCCAATATTTTCGGACGTTTTTACATGAACAGTAAATTCTCTCTAGTTGACGCTCAGACTGTATACAAAAGTGGACAATTTGGGAAGAGGAAGCACGATTAATCGAATCCTGCGCCTCGATTTTATAGTCGAGCCGTTTATTTTGAATGTGGCATAAGTCACTTTATTTTTAAATCGATATATTTAAGGGTTTGCGTTTTAACACCTGTCTCTTATACACATCTGGTGACTCGGTTGATTGTGGTTGCCGCTCTCAACCACGGCTGTCTCTTATACACATCTGGTGACTCGGTTGATTGTGGTTGCCGCTCTCAACCACGGCTGTCTCTTATACACATCTGGTGACTCGGTTGATTGTGGTTGCCGCTCTCAACCACGGCTGTCTCTTATACACATCTGGTGACTCGGTTGATTGTGGTTGCCGCTCTCAACCACGGCTGTCTCTTATACACATCTGGTGACTCGGTTGATTGTGGTTGCCGCTCTCAACCACGGCTGTCTCTTATACACATCTGGTGACTCGGTTGATTGTGGTTGCCGCTCTCAACCACGGCTGTCTCTTATACACATCTGGTGACTCGGTTGATTGTGGTTGCCGCTCTCAACCACGGCTGTCTCTTATACACATCTGGTGACTCGGTTGATTGTGGTTGCCGCTCTCAACCACGGCTGTCTCTTATACACATCTGGTGACTCGGTTGATTGTGGTTGCCGCTCTCAACCACGGCTGTCTCTTATACACATCTGGTGACTCGGTTGATTGTGGTTGCCGCTCTCAACCACGGCTGTCTCTTATACACATCTGGTGACTCGGTTGATTGTGGTTGCCGCTCTCAACCACGGCTGTCTCTTATACACATCTGGTGACTCGGTTGATTGTGGTTGCCGCTCTCAACCACGGCTGTCTCTTATACACATCTGGTGACTCGGTTGATTGTGGTTGCCGCTCTCAACCACGGCTGTCTCTTATACACATCTGGTGACTCGGTTGATTGTGGTTGCCGCTCTCAACCACGGCTGTCTCTTATACACATCTGGTGACTCGGTTGATTGTGGTTGCCGCTCTCAACCACGGCTGTCTCTTATACACATCTGGTGACTCGGTTGATTGTGGTTGCCGCTCTCAACCACGGCTGTCTCTTATACACATCTGGTGACTCGGTTGATTGTGGTTGCCGCTCTCAACCACGGCTGTCTCTTATACACATCTAGATGTGTATAAGAGACAGGTGTTAAAACGCAAACCCTTAAATATATCGATTTAAAAACAAAGTGACTTATGCCACTTTCAAAATAAACGGCTCAGTTATTAAAAATTGGCGACTATAGAAACTGGGCCACGATGATTGAATAATAGTATCGTCTCTACCCAAATTGTCCATTTTTGTGTACAATCCAAGCATCAATTACGGAGTATTTACTGTATACATGACTGTTTCAACGGTCTTGTTTTTTTTCAATCAATTCGGTGCTATTGTTTCAGGCTGAATACTCTAGGTTGCAATTAATACAGACTATTTTTATTTTGCATAAAAATCCGCGGTCTGGTGATTATAAAATATAGAGAAGTATAATTGAAATATAACTGGTGGAAGAGCGGTGGCTAATGACTATACAGCGGATCTTTATTAAAAATAAAAATGGTCTGCGTCGATTACGATAAGCAGGGTTTATGAATACATGCATGTTTCTCTTGATAGCTTAAATAAGCCAAAAACAATAGAATCGAGTGGTGCTAATTCAATTGCATCGTAATTCAACTTCGCAATTTAATTACATTGTATTTGAATTTCATCACCAAGGGTTGTATTAACCACTGTGCGAAACGAAGGGTTAAGATTCAGACCCGACTGACAGACGTCACGTTTACAGTCGATGACCACGCGGGTCTTCTGATCGCAAGACCATTGCCCCTGGAGAGTCCCGGCGACCACATCTCGGACTTGGACAGTCACAAGCCCAGTGTGACCCACCCGGGCGATATCTATCACGGCCCGCCACCGGAATTGGATGAGAAAGAGATCGAAAACACCGTGGTTGAGAGCGGCAACCACAATCAACCGAGTCACCCTGCCGAGTCTCATCATCATCTCGATCATCCACCGTCCAGCTACGACGTTCCTCTGCATCAGTTCTCGCTCGAGGATTCCAAGAAGGGAATCAAGGAGAAGTATCCGCTTTATCCCCCATTGATTGGAGGATCAGGAACCAGTGCCCATAACTCGTTATCGATTCAGCAAAACGTCGAATACCCGCCGGTGCACATTCGGTACACGGTGCCTATCAAAGGGTCCTTGAAACTGCCGCTCGAAGACACCTCCAGCAACGATCTGTCCGTGTACGGCAGTTTGTCGATCGACGAGCCCGAGATCGGATCGACGAAACTGCAGACGGCGAATCAGGTGGGCGGTTTCGAACTGCCGAAACTGCAAACCCACGGAAACTTCCGCGGTTTGCCCGGCTTTCTGAATACTTACCCCGGCGGCGGTGCGTGGCAAGCACCTTTGAAGACGCCTTTATTAAACTCTTACGTGACACCCTATTGGCAGAACCAGGGATTATTCCAGCCGCTCGCTGGTTTCGACATGTTCGGCTTATACAGGAGACGGAACAGCCTTCACAGACGGAGATCCGTCAGCGACGCTTTGCGGCACGCGACGATGTCCCGAGTGTAGCTTTAAAGACTGATCTCAGGTAATTGGGAAACGTTGAAGGTGACGCGATGGAATATATCGTTCGTCCAAGCTGCCATGTAATGTTGGATTTCACCTATGAGTGCGTGAGATATGAATGAGTCCAGGAATTTAGGACGATAAAAGTATACCGTGGAAACCTAGTTTTAGTGGACTGGCGTTAGAATCAATGTTTGTAATGACTTTGGGCTTTATACTGTTGCAAAAGTGGCACGCTTACTTTTGTATCGATTTCAGAAGTAGACGTTAGTCACTGTATGCTCGGCTATTGTGTAGAAATCGGACACGCGCGATTATACTATTTTGTATACGGAGGATTCGAGGTAGACCATTCGAAGTTAAAAATGCTGGGACCATCAGTTAGTTAAAATGATTGGTTCCTGATTTTTCCTTTTACAACTTTTGATTTTATGAAAATGTGAAAATTTTTTCGATGAACTTCTTTGTTCGAACATATATTGCAATAGAAAACAAACGGAGTTTAAATAAATCGATTTTTCTCATTGTTGTAAAACGATAAACATTATAATTATGCGTAGAACTCAATAGTTCTGGTACTAGTACTTCGACTGCCAATTTTTCGTCATACTTGAAACGCAATTTTTATTGCAATCTATTAAATAAACTGAAGTTTGCTAGAATCTACAACAAGCAAAAAGATCGTAGAATTAACTGTTGCAATAAGTTTCGTCATCTCTCTAATCTTACGTTATGGAACAAGTTGTTCTAAATTTATTGTCATTTATGTGTTAGTCAACGTGTGTGTCAATTTATAGAGTTTAGAAAGAAGTGTAGATGACCACGACTTAGATTACTTCGAATGAAACACAGTCATTTTGAACTAAAGAAAATTGATGGTGACTACAAAATCTCCAAGAGCCTTTAGGCTTTTGTTTAAATAGAACAATAAGGAGCAGACTGCGAATTTTGTGTATTTCTGACAAAAGTGAGTAGATCGAATACGACACATTAAATGCGAGACGAGAATTTAACAATACGATCATTTTTAACTGATTAAAAATATGAATTGTGAAAATAAATTTTTGTCCAACTCCTATTCGATGCAAATGGGGTAGAGAAATTTTATTTTGCATAAATATGCGCAGTCGAATAATGAGATTTTGGAATTTCGAAAACTTTCTCTACTGGACGCATTTCGATGAATACAGCTGTAACATCAGTAACATCACTTAATATTATTTTATTAGAAATTGTAATTTTATAGTATTTTGTAGTCATTCTATTAATTCGCAACGAATTTTCGTTTCGTTGGCTGTTTTGTTTCCCTTTGGCGAATTACAAATTGCATTTATGTTTTAATATAATGCATTCATTTAACTATTCTTGTTTATGTTTCAATCATAATATGAACATTTTCTTGTTCACGTCTTGCTTGACAATCAAATAATTTTTAAGGGTATGCGCAGTAAATAGTATACCACGCGAATTTATGAAATCTCTACTTGTCAGATAAGATACAATATGATATCAATTTAGACCAGAGAAAATAATAAGATCGCGTGAAACGGTGCAAAGTTTTTAAACAACCTAACCGTTTATAGTCAGTTCTAAATTAGTCTATATTTATATATATACATTATCAATCTCAAGAATATTACTCATTTAAAAATGGCCTCCACCACACACAAATTTCTCAAATGTAGAATTATCTATTTTAAATCTACTTAAGTACCAACTGTTTATATTAATTCCAGAATAGAGTAGTTTTATTTGTTCTAAATGCTAAACTTTCAAATCTACGTGTCATAAATTATGTTGTAAATTTTTCACGTTAAATCTTACTTATACTATCCCAATTCTGCAGAATCTATTTTCCAATACAGATTATTTTCTAAACAATTATCTGCAGGGTAGTCGAATCGGTTAATTAACAATTGAGCCGTCACAATTAACTTTATATTTATCGAATAAGACATATTAAATGTATTGATTAAAAATACAAACAAAATAGAAGAACACAAAAATGTTGTATCAAAAAATTAACAGACTAAAAGAACACAAAAATTGTCGGTTAAAAACTAACCGAAATGAAAGAATAAAACGTTTTTTATAAAAAAAATTAAACAAAATAAAAGAATGAAGAATGACAAAACAATTGGTCGCTCCACAGTAACCGGCTCCACTACCCTATTCTATCGAACATGTAGTATCGAAGAACTGAAACGTATTCATGTCATTTACCTTACAATTTTGCTCCTTGTTGCAGCGATCTATAGCTACAATGCGATTCGTCCTCAATGGAATGGGTCCAAAAGGCAGAACGTATACGTGATAACCACGTATCACAGATTAAAGTCGCATTGATCGAACTGAAATGCAACGCAAGCATGATCTTGTTGCGTTGGGACCGTAGAATTTCGCAATAAGGTCGGACGTGGATGAGGGCAGCAGGCTCGTGCACAAATGGAGAATACAAACGGAGGAGCCTGCACGGCTTCGAGTCGTCTTGATGTTACGTTCACCAAGTCGGCAAGAACAAGACCGCGAAGATTTCACAGTTGGATCCGTTACTCACGGACGAATCTTGTCGAAGTTATTTGCAAAAAGAAACCGGTTCTGTATATGCAAACGACCGTGCGGATGTTGGACAATTATGTGCGAGTCAACCCGGCGTAGAAAGTATCCACAGTAGTTGCGTTTTTGTTTGTGATAAATACAATGTCGGGATCATGCTGTATAGCATTCGAACGTAACTTCGAACGCAAGTTACCATTATTGTGCCTCGCTGTCGAATACGGTACGGATTGATCGCGCGATTAGCATAACGAGCGACGCCTGTAACATGTTCATTTTGTACATAGAAGGAAACGGAAGTTCGCGAACTACCGATGTCGTGTTTTTATCGAATGATAAAGGCCATAGAAATACAACTAATTAAGCGTATTTTACCCTCCCCCTGTCTCAGATGCCTGCTAGAATAGAATTACGTAGCATGTTTCATACACAACTACAACCTCCCTCCCGTTATTTATATAATAATGCGATTCAAATTGTCTCCCAACATTCGGATACCATTGAATGACTGTAACGCTGTTTTTAGTTTCAGTATTTATAGTGAAATCGGTCTGTTTATTGTTATTGTATTTCCCCGTTGATCGCAGTGATGTTTAATAAACTACTGTTCTTTTGCTTGTTTTAGAGTTGTGCGTGTCTCCTATACGTTCCAAATAGGGTGTCATTATCGGGGTTCAATGTTTCACGAGTAATACAACGGTGTCTATAGACACTGTTTACTTTCTTGATTTTCAGTTCGATAAAACAAGAACGAAGAAAGCGGCGTGCCTGTATTTAACGCCAATAATTACGTTAATAAGACGCAGAAAATACGTCGTTACGTCCACGAAATAAATCACACGGAGCAACGTCCAACCTCGATCTCCCACCAAGTATCACGGAGGGTGCAATGAACTTTAAAACCTAAATGACACTCGTTCTGGCAATGCAGCCGCAAAACTGCAGTCCCTTTCCGATAATAAAAACATCGAAAAATTGGCACATAATAAAACAGTACGAAACGAATTACTTTCACTTTTATAATATTCGCATTTGCCGTAAATTATAATTAAGATCTGTTGATGGAGGCTGTTATTACGGGTTTGTCGTTTCTTAAAGAGATATTCTAGCGTAAACTGCGTTTTCCTTTAACCGTCTTTGAGATGTTTTCGCAACGAAACTGTAACACGTTTCGCAGTCACATGTACGAGGTTTATTTATACATGCTTCAATGACATTTAACGATTTTTTTAGGTTTGAAAAACGTTAAAATTGTTAGTTTTACACATATATGAATTTCAGATATCGCACTATGACCTCGATTGCGGCTATTTGGTTTATCTAAAATGAAGAGAACATGCAAGATTCTTAATTAGTATGAGATTAGCTATTGCAGGAACTAGAGCAAAAGCAAAAGGCTTTGAAATTTGAAATTTGATTATTCGATATTGGAAGACTAAAAAAATATAGGAAATTTTGAAGGCAATTGGTTAAGTAGATTTTGAGAAATCATGGTCACCGCTTTGAAAAATATAGTTTCGAGAAAAATGCGTTTAAAGTTTTGTGTGCCAACACTGATCATCAGACGGCGAATCTTTATGCAAGATACAAAATGCCCAAAACGATTGCAAGAAATAGAAATGAAATAAAAGTAAATCATTTCTTTGTATAATTTTTATAATTTGGAAACAATGTAAGAACATAATTCAATTCTTTTGCTGCCTTCAGAATTTTATATTTCAGCTACTGATTTTTGCCATAAATGCATCAAATCCACGATCTACTGATCATTCATATTACGAATAATCGAGCAGCTATAACTTTCTTAATTTTAAGAATTCATATATGAGATTTTGTAGACGTATTTTTGAGCCTATGTTTTTCACGAAAATGTAAAAAAAAAGTCAACTTTTTCTTTAAAAAATCCACACCAGAATACCCGCTTAAAAGCAAACGGAAATACAATTGTAAAATGAAATTGAATGGGAAATTCCAAACCTACTTACGACTTTATATGATTCCAGCACCAGGCATAAATATTTCTTTATCTATCGTATAACAATAAATAGAATGTTCGGTCACATGCTATTCAGGGAAAGGCGAACGCAGAACACAAAGACCTCCCGTTCGATTGTGAAAGACGGACTGATAGAACGCATAATTTTAGTCATAAACTCACGTAGCACCGGTGAATATAGTGGGTCACTGGATCACACACGTTGGTAACACACAGGTGTACACTCACGAGGGAATCCAGTAGCAGGATATGGAGAGAAACGGCGTTTGACCGGTCTTCGATCGTTCTGTCCATCTGTCGTCTCGCAGGGGCCCCATGATGCAGCCGCAAATCGACTTTCCTGTCATCCTGAAATTTTTTATCATCGCTCCGCTATAACGCGACGCCGCACCGTGCGCACTCAGATAATTCGCATTACACAACAAATAATTAGTTCGAACTCGATAGGTGAACTTTTGAGAAACAGAAAAAAATATATATTTACTATTTAAACGACACTTATATCTTTTGTAATGTACAAATATAGCCTGTTTACGTTTCTGTAGAATACAGCAATTGAACAAACATTTAGCAAAAGATATTTCTTTTTTATTATTCTTGAATTATTTGTGTCTATTGCTTACACAATATTAACAGAACTGCATTTATTTAGATTTTTCGCGCTTTTTATTTTAATGCAAACTTGAATAAAGGAATTTATTTAATTATAAATTTCGTATTTCTGTACAATTTACATATAAATTTATACGAACACCTAATTTTTATTATAAATTCATATGCAAATCCCCATATTTTAAAATAATTAATATAAAACTTTATACAAATTTAATCTTCCTTTCAAATCAATTATGAATTTTGTTTTCATATAATTTCATATTTTATATAAAAATCTAGTTTTTATTGCATGATATTAATTTAAATCTAGAGATTGCATTTTAATCGTTTGCCTTTTAACCACTACAGTTCGTTCATTTTTCTCTAATAAAGTGATGAAATATTATTTCTTCGCGAATATTACGAATTGTTATGCAAGAATGTTTTCTTTCGTTCGTCCATGCCGGAAGTTACGGCGAACGGGTGTGAAAAGTACGAGCACATGAAAATCTCATGGGAAAAATCGTTACCGATGTAGCTACAGGCTGTGTACCGAACAATAGTAAATTGGTAATTCCGGTAAATTTCGTAGAACCAATGACTTTTCCCGGTTACGTTTCGCATTTCGAGGCAGTTGTTATCCGTCAGAGTCAAGGTAGGAGGCAGCGTTTCGGCCTTCGATGATACGTTCGCTTGGTTGCGAGTATAAATGAAGGACAATGACCTAATTGCGTGCAGAACATGCAGTGCTTCCTCAACGTCCAATCATCGCGCGCGTGAACTTGTATTCGATTATTTGTGACCGAGACCAGGTGTCCTGTATTATTTTTTCACAACTTGTCTTTTCGCAGTGTAAACGTAAAGGTGATCATTCTCGAAATTACGAATTTGTGTACTACAGGCGTTCGTCGGAGAGCAACGCAATGAAGGTAAGTGACATTCCGCAGAATTATTATATATTTTTCGTTCGTGAGAAGATTTCACTCAATGTGTAACTGTTTCATCGCATCGTGTTAGCTCGATATCAGTTTATTTTCACGAAGATTCCATTAAAATGTACATATAATGCTAAATGTATAAACCGAAAACTAACATTTGCTTAAATTGTAAAATGTATGCGTTTAAACGATTGAGAGCAGATTCAAGAGTAAATAGACAGTTTCGTGTGATTGTTTCTTAAATAATTTTAAGCAAACTATATTGTTGAAACTATGAAACTGTTTTTGTGAAATAGTATAGATGCGTAAGTGAATTATAATTTAAGCTTAGCTTTCTTTCGAATATTTGAAGCAATTATTGCAACAGTTCAATCGAACCACGAACAGTTTAATCGAACATGTAAACTAAAAACAGTTAAATAACATTACTAAATACTTCTTCAACACATACGCCTACGTTCATTTAACATTTAAACACGTATTAACATATATTATATATTACTAACTGTTTCTATTAGTATGTAATATAATTTGACATATGTATATTCAACGTTACGCCTACGTTCATTTAACATTTAAACACGTATTAACATATATTATATATTACTAACTGTTTCTATTAGTATGTAATATAATTTGACATATGTATATTCAACGTTACGCCTACGTTCATTTAACATTTAAACACGTATTAACATATATTATATATTACTAACTGTTTCTATTAGTATGTAATATAATTTGACATATGTATATTCAACGTTACGCCTACGTTCATTTAACATTTAAACACGTATTAACATATATTATATATTACTAACTGTTTCTATTAGTATGTAATATAATTTGACATATGTATATTCAACGTTACGCCTACGTTCATTTAACATTTAAACACGTATTAACATATATTATATATTACTAACTGTTTCTATTAGTATGTAATATAATTTGACATATGTATATTCAACGTTACGCCTACGTTCATTTAACATTTAAACACGTATTAACATATATTATATATTACTAACTGTTTCTATTAGTATGTAATATAATTTGACATATGTATATTCAACGTTACGCCTACGTTCATTTAACATTTAAACACGTATTAACATATATTATATATTACTAACTGTTTCTATTAGTATGTAATATAATTTGACATATGTATATTCAACGTTACGCCTACGTTCATTTAACATTTAAACACGTATTAACATATATTATATATTACTAACTGTTTCTATTAGTATGTAATATAATTTGACATATGTATATTCAACGTTACGCCTACGTTCATTTAACATTTAAACACGTATTAACATATATTATATATTACTAACTGTTTCTATTAGTATGTAATATAATTTGACATATGTATATTCAACGTTACGCCTACGTTCATTTAACATTTAAACACGTATTAACATATATTATATATTACTAACTGTTTCTATTAGTATGTAATATAATTTGACATATGTATATTCAACGTTACGCCTACGTTCATTTAACATTTAAACACGTATTAACATATATTATATATTACTAACTGTTTCTATTAGTATGTAATATAATTTGACATATGTATATTCAACGTTACGCCTACGTTCATTTAACATTTAAACACGTATTAACATATATTATATATTACTAACTGTTTCTATTAGTATGTAATATAATTTGACATATGTATATTCAACGTTACGCCTACGTTCATTTAACATTTAAACACGTATTAACATATATTATATATTACTAACTGTTTCTATTAGTATGTAATATAATTTGACATATGTATATTCAACGTTACGCCTACGTTCATTTAACATTTAAACACGTATTAACATATATTATATATTACTAACTGTTTCTATTAGTATATAATATAATTCGACATACGTATATTCAACGTTATAGTATATCTATAAAATCGTTTCTACTAGCGTACAAAACAATTTCCAACGCTTCCCTCATGAATCGAATCTTATAATTTCGATGTCGAGTGATAGAAGTTTATTGTCACGACTGAAAAATCATGTTAATAGACCCGCCCATCCGATATAGAAACTTGTTCCGTTATATGACGAAAAAAGTATAGGCAGTCGATGTCTGGACGTTATCATTAACGGGAAATAGGTATTTCTATGATCATTCTACAGGAAACGTCTTCCTTCCAAGAAGTGCAATTAACAACAAACGGCGCCGACTTGGCCGCCGTCTTAACATAATTACAACAAACTAAACCGCCACTGTATCATTTACTAATAAACTTAATTATCGATCATTTTCTGCCCCGGTAAGTGCTTCGGAAAAATTACTACAATATAGAAGAACCATTCGTATAAAAATTGCATAGCAGATATCACATTGAAAGTTCAATTAATAATCTTAATTATCAGGTTGAGAGAACGACCACCTATAATCACTTCATATTCCGAAGCACTTCTTTCTGAACATAGATCGGACAAAAGGAAGCCATGTTAACTGTCCCATCATAAAATCATTTGTAAAGCAGTGGTAAATGATGCGGTAATGACGAAGTGGTTCATAAATCCGGCGCTAATATTCAATCTAATAGTGCTGCAATAAAGAATGGCAAGTTCAGCAGAAATTAATATGACGATAAATGCAGTCCACTTCGGGAAATGACATTAGGGAAGCGAGAACGATGTCTAATGATCGCGATGCAACCGGTTGCGTTCACGATCGGCATTTCTAATTCGCATGAATTGGAGGACGATCATTTTCTACGCTCAACTATTTTCTTTTCGACCTCGCGCTCCTCTCTGGCTTCTTACCCTCGCTTTTCCTATATCGATGTGGCACACCGTTCCACTTTGTTCGCTAAGAACACGCAGCACTTCTCTCTTCAGTTTCATTGCCTACGACAGCGTTTCTCAATCTACAGCACAATCGGCCAGCAGAGTCACAATGGAGACCATTGCCACGGCCATTGTTGCGGTCATTCAAATCACCATTCACTGTAACACGCTACACGGTATGGTAGCGAATACGAAAATGCGTCTAGCGAAACAATTTCCCTGCAAGCAGGCGCTATAATTAGTCGGGACACTTCACTTGATGAATAAATGATTTTTTTTTCTCAAATTACCATTGCAATTGGCCGTTACGGAAGCGGTGGTTGATGAAACTTAATTAATGATGCAGTAATTTAAACGTAACAATGAGACAGGGAATAGTATAATCAATGTCGTAAATTTCTAAAAGATTAATGTAAATATATTTACTGTTAAACTAATATTAAGTGAATATTAAAGTAAACATATTCGAATAATTTATAAGCAGTGTTACAATTAAGCAGAAAGCTTTGTTTAATATCTAAATGAATTTACTAAAATTACTACGTTTACTTAATATTAAGTAAATATCAAAGTAAACATCAAAGTAAATTGTAATAATTTATAAACAATTATAATTAAACAGAACAATTCCTTATTAAACGAATTTAACGACGAAACGTATAAATTAAAATTACCATTGCACAATTTGTCGTTATTAAAGTAGTACTTGTTAAACAAATCAATAATTGAATTTTAAAATGATGTATTAAATTTAACATAAATATTACTTATAATCAATTACTTTATAATTAATTCAATCTCAGAAAAATTAACATAAACGTATATTTTAATAATTGACGATTATTAGAGTATACTCTGTTGATTTGATATATAATCAGTTCGTTTCAAGAGTTGCATTTCACACAAGGATGTTACGTGAACATCTTATTCTTACTAACTACGAAAATTTGAGGATCACTGGCTCACCACACGTCGTACATACTGACTTTACACCAAGAATAAAAGGTGCACGTGTTGATATGTGAATACCGTAAGACTCGCAATAGGTCTGGATTTCCGGTTTCGTAGTGTCTGCTTTTCCGATCGTTATGAATTCTTTGCATATTTCGCAGTCGCAGGCGCGAACCGGTTTCGAAAATATGGAATACGGAAGTGGAATTCGACGTCAATTTATTAAACATTAATATCGAAACAACAATAACTACAAAACACTTACACATATAATTAAAATGCTTATACATGAAATACTTATACATATACAAAATACTTATACATATACAAAATACTTATACATTATAATCTTATTCTAATCGATTCTATTAAATGTACTGTTCGAAAAGCATACTGTTAAATGTACATTTAAACGTACCGTTGAAAAAAGGAAACCGAGTTTATTAGCAAGATTCTATTAATAGAAACGTTAGGGCATTGAACGTGGGCGTACGAGGAGACCCACTGACCGTTACAGGCTGTAATAACTGGCGGTAATCCAACTCACAATTCCAGATTCCGGCTAAAAATAGTAGACCGACCGACACGCTCTGTTAAACAAATTTCAGGCGACGAATTGGATATGCTGGCTGTTGGTCTTGTACGTCTGCCTTGTCGAAGCCAGGTACAAGATCAGAAGGCCTCCGCTCCCTCCTCCGCCGCCGCCGAAGCTGGTCTACAAGAAATCTTGGCCGATCGCCCACAGAATCTCGACAGGAAACACGATGTATATTAACGGGAACTTCCCGCCGAAGCGAATGCCGCAGAAACCCCTGAATTACAGGTGATTTTCTCGGACCTCGCCGAAAGAACTTGTTGGCGATCGATCGTCATAGGGTGTTCAATTACAGAATACGTCGACCCCCGATGTTCAACGTCCCAGCCACTGTCTGGAAGAATCAAATGCCGATTCGGGTGCCGATGAACAATCACGTCGTTCTTCCTCAGCGACCACCCGTTAAAGAGTTCCATACCGTGAACAAAATGCCGGAGTATAGTCCCGAGTACAGGCCGGAAGCTGCGGTTCTACCGCCCACGCATAGAGGTAGCGTCGACGACGACAAAGGACCGATTCATACCATCCCTGCGCCTAATCTGAGCATCATGGACAAGCCTTTCAGCGGAGAAATCGGCTCGCAGGAGACAATCCATCGACAACAGACCACTGATCCTGCTTACAAGATTAATCCACACGGTTAGTTTCAATAATCAAGTTTCGATAATATAATTGAGGAATTGTTCTTCGGTCTTGTTGAAATGCACAACGGAAAACTTGTTTCTCTTGAGAACGGTGCCTCGAATGAACAATTTTATCCTATCGATAATTGTACAAGTTGTTGAAAAGCGCAACAAAAATTCATGTGGCATATACATTTGAGCCGTTTATTTTGAAAGTGGTATAAGTCACTTTGTTTTTAAGTCGATATATTTAAGGGCTGTCTCTTATACACATCTAGATGTGTATAAGAGACAGGATGTTTACTTTGATATTTACTTAATATTAAGTAAATATCAAAGTAAACATCCTGTCTCTTATACACATCTAGATGTGTATAAGAGACAGGATGTTTACTTTGATATTTACTTAATATTAAGTAAATATCAAAGTAAACATCCTGTCTCTTATACACATCTAGATGTGTATAAGAGACAGGATGTTTACTTTGATATTTACTTAATATTAAGTAAATATCAAAGTAAACATCCTGTCTCTTATACACATCTAGATGTGTATAAGAGACAGGATGTTTACTTTGATATTTACTTAATATTAAGTAAATATCAAAGTAAACATCCTGTCTCTTATACACATCTAGATGTGTATAAGAGACAGGATGTTTACTTTGATATTTACTTAATATTAAGTAAATATCAAAGTAAACATCCTGTCTCTTATACACATCTAGATGTGTATAAGAGACAGGATGTTTACTTTGATATTTACTTAATATTAAGTAAATATCAAAGTAAACATCCTGTCTCTTATACACATCTAGATGTGTATAAGAGACAGGATGTTTACTTTGATATTTACTTAATATTAAGTAAATATCAAAGTAAACATCCTGTCTCTTATACACATCTAGATGTGTATAAGAGACAGGATGTTTACTTTGATATTTACTTAATATTAAGTAAATATCAAAGTAAACATCCTGTCTCTTATACACATCTAGATGTGTATAAGAGACAGGATGTTTACTTTGATATTTACTTAATATTAAGTAAATATCAAAGTAAACATCCTGTCTCTTATACACATCTAGATGTGTATAAGAGACAGGATGTTTACTTTGATATTTACTTAATATTAAGTAAATATCAAAGTAAACATCCTGTCTCTTATACACATCTAGATGTGTATAAGAGACAGCGGTAAAGTGACTTATGCCACTTTCAAAATAAACGGCTCATTTATAACTAATTTATGAGAGAAATAAAATAGATGTAATTTGAAGCAGTAGGAAAACTAAAAGAATTGACGAGTGTCGATGTGGATTACGTTGATCTTATTGAAGTTCTAAAAGGAATTTGTGGAAGCAATTTTCATTTTGCATGCAGATCGAAATATTCCATAAAAAAAAGCATTGACTATTACATACAATAAACATGCGTGACGAATGATTTTCTGCGCTTGTTGAAAAGCATGAAAAGTATTCGCAGCATGTACATGTAGAACACAATGGTTACCATCGTCTAAAAATAAAGTAATTCATATCTTAGACAAGATAGGAACCTTTTGTTTGTACTTTTACATTCGACTGACTTAGTGAAAACTACCTGAAAAAGGTTTTCTCGGACATTCCAAATTTGTTAAGCGACAACATACAAATCTCGTAATTCTTTCCACAGGATCGTTGTTACCAAATTTCGACATTGCTACGATCAGCACGAGTTTGGCACCGCAGAAGCCGGTGACCAGTCCCACTCCGACACATCACTACGAGGTGACCGAGAGTAACGATGTTAATCAGAAAGATTATCAAACCGTTCTGCCGACGTTCTTGCCGCAAGATTTCGCGACGGGGCTTTCGACCATAGTGAATCCCGATCTGCAAACGAACGACGTCTACCTGAATCAACCAGCGTCCAATATTGGGCTAATCGGAACTAACATGCAACTGGGTCAGCCTAATCTACCGATGCAAACGAATCTACACAGTTCTCTACACGTTGGCTTCCCGGAAACCGCCGGCCAAACGCCTTACATCATAAATCAACAGATACCTGATTTACACGTTGGTCATCCGGCGCCGGCCGGACCTCCGCTCTCGGCTACCCAGCTTTACGATCTTCTGAACAGTTTCCCGCAGAAAATGCCGGAACAATATCCGCCAGGTAGGATCTAGATAAAATAAAAATAGCTACTACATCACCTTCAGCTTTATCTAACGTTACATTTTCACAACAAAGAACGCAACCGTACAAATTACCGTTAATTGCGCGAAAATATTTGTGGGAACAGAAAAAAAAGCTCTGATAACATCGAGATCACTATAATAGAGAGCTCGGTGTTCCCTCGTCTACATAATGTTCACATAAACATTCATTGTAGAATACCCCGCTTAGAAGCCGGAGAACGATGATGGCACACTTGGAATCCGATAGGTCGCGTTATAAATAAATAAAAACGATCGTTTCACCTTTGTTAGATCCCAAGATGAGAACGTCCGATCAACGTCGGACCGTGCGAAACGTATTTTTATCGATATAGAGCATCGATTCGGATTAACGATGTCAGCAAAAACAACGAGATTGAATCGAAGCACTTTGATTCCAGGTCAACAGCCGCAACTTCAACAGCACATACTGCAACAGCAACTCGGTCAAATCTTCCAACCTACCGGAGTAACAGGTTTCTCGCAGCCCCAGATGCAATCATTCAATTACGACGAGCAAGATAACAAGGAGCAACAGCAACAGCAGGTTTTGTTCAATCAGGACTATATCGCTGGACGAGTAAATACGAATTATAACGTGGGACCGGAGGCTGCCGCGGAGGAACAGGAGGACAATAATCTGCAAGAAACCGAGGACCTCTCCTACGTGGCCGACACCTCGGAACAAGTGGAGAACAACATAGAGTACGACGAGGCGAACGACCAAAGTCCACAAGCTACCTATTTCAACAAAGCGGTGCACGACGATGGTATATCCACCCAGTTTTATACGACGCTGCCAAATCGCGAGGCGGCTGAGAAATTGGCAGCTCTAGCAGCAGCTGGGAACGTTAACAGCCAACTAATAGGGAAACTTCAGAAGCAGCAACAGCAACAACAGCAGCAGCAGCAGCAACAACAGCAGCAGCAACAACAACAACAACAGCAGCAGCAGCAGCAACAGCAACAGCAGCAGCAACAGCAACAGCAGCAGCAGCAGCAGCAGCAGGAAAATATTCAGAACGAAGACACTATTCCCTCTAATCACAAGCTGGAAGATTACGATACAAATGAGCAGATCAATGAGAATTATGATCATAAATCTGGCCAAGATCGGATGAGAAATCGACAGAAGCAAAGACTGCAGGAGCAGCAGTACGAGGAACGACAGGAATACGACAGGCAGCAGCAACGCCAAAGGCAGAGTAGCATGTACAGTAATAAACGGCCTCTGAGAATTATGGTTCCTGATGAGAACGAGTACAGTAACGGCGAAGTGCAGAACGATGACGCTCAAGAGAATGCGGATGCTGACTACGAGTACGAGAACGAGGAGGATACCGCGAATTCGCAGGCGAACGGTAGAACATCCGAGAAATCGACGTCCGAATTTGGATCGCGTTTGAACCCGAAGGCTGCGGCTTAGTCCGCTGTTTTCACAGTACTCTGTATATATCGTGAATATTTATTATAACAATCGCCTATTATTTTAACCGGTTAGCTTCAGTTCAGGGTTTTTGTGTGATTTACTCGGCGACGAGTGGGTTAACGCTGAAATAGGGAAGTTGCGTGCAGTTTCTGCAAAGTTATGTCGATGAAACTTGTCGGAGAAAAATGATATGTTAACGCGGGATGTTTGGGAACAACTTTCGTCGACGTATGCACTGGAAACGGCCTTCTTAAGGGGACGTAGTAATTTATTTGAGATTATTTATTTCGCACCGTTGTACTCGCACCTGGTTGTAAGAAAGATGGACAGAGGTTGCTTTTTTGATTTACAGAATCGATTTGTTTTATTTCAATCATTGCGCATCACCAATTTGTGTTACACTTATATATGTACATATATGTATCAATGAGGTAATTCTATATGGTACAGGAGCCATTTCGGGTACAAACAAAAACATCTAACGAGATTCTAGTTTTCAAGAATCATTGTTACCGTCGTCTTTCTAACAGTTTTATAAAACTAGCCAATGGGACAGTTACTTCGTAAAAAATATCTTACAGAACACGAATTTCGATTGTTCAGCGTCACACTATCGTTACCTTCGCGTTACGTCATGGTGAATCTTGAAAAACGAGATCTCGTTTGAACAGAAACAAGGGTATTTAAGCAGTACAATGCTTATATATCCACGAAATTGAAAATGATGTTATAACCCGACGATAATACGTAAGGAAATACTATTAAGGCCGGTCCATAAACCACGGTTTGCCGTCGTTTGTGAGCCGCTTTGTGAGAATGTCACAGCCAGTTTCCGTGACTAACAACGTATGCTCGAACTGAGCTGACCACTGACCGTCCGCGGTGACCGCTGTCCACTTGTCTGGCCACGTTTCGTCTCTCCATGTGCCGTGAGATATCATCGGCTCTATAGTAAAGCAATGCCCCGGTTTCATCACGCCGACAGCTTTGTTTTCTGAAAGCAATCGAGAGGAATTGTATTGAACGGATTCCGGTTGCGCAACAAATAAAAGTCGAGATACGTACTGGCATAGTGAGGTACACTTGGGGCAGTGTGAAACAGGCGATGTATTCCGTGGCCGCAGTAGCTGCGTACTACGCTGCAACCATGGGCTTGTGCATACTTTTGAACTACATTGCCAATTTCTCTGTACTTTTCACCCGGCCGAACAATGGCAATAGCTTTCGCCAAACACTCATGAGTAATTTCCACTAATTTCTTTACCTCTGGCTTCACGTTGCCGACTAAGAACGTCTCGTTCAAATCGCCGTGGAAACCGTTGTGATATACGGTTACGTCAACTGTAAGAGAAAAGGATTATGAAATTACGTTCATTAAATTGAAGATATATTCATGTAAGCAAGGTATGAATTACCATTGCAAATGTCTCCATCTTGAAGCGGTCTGGTATCAGGAATACCATGGCAAATTACTTCGTTCACAGAAGTACAACAACTAGCTGGGAACTGATAATAATTCAATGGAGATGGATAGCAGTCTCGTTCGATACAAGCTTCGTAAACAGCTCTATCGATCTCAGCAGTTGTAACACCCACGTCGCAGGTACGTGCTGCTTCATCCAATACTTCACGTCCAAGCTATGAGAGTAATTCTGATTTATCCTTCCCTTCTTTGTTAAAAAGAAAATAAAAATACACTCAAAAAGAAAGAAATTTGTATGCAAAGCAGCTTGTTGCAGTTAGCAAAACTAATCTGAAGTCATCGGAAAAAGGACAGTAACATTATAGTAGTAATAATTATACCTTGCAAGCTACTCGCATACCCTCAATTTCTTCATCGTCAAGAACTTTTATCTGACTGGAATCTCTGACTGCCTGTTCGCTTACAGGAATACCAGTAGTAGCATAATCTGGACGTTTAATATGTTCAGGAACTTCTCGACGAGGTTCTCTTTTATAAGGTCGCAGTTGTCCGGTATAATGGTAATAAGGCCATGGATTATAGTCATTAGATGACGTATCTGCACCTGTTCCTTCTATACAAAGAACATAATTTTTGCTTAACATCATATCTTTTAATCTATTGTGTAAGCATTTTGAATAAAGTATATGCTCACTTTTTTACGCATAATTTTCATTGTTATAGACATATATTATATAAGAAAGATTGTTAAACTCACTTGCTATCTTATGGATAACTTTATGTGTTTTCCAACTGCGTTTGAAACAATCCTAGAACATAGCAACAACGTCTACAGCAATTAACGTTTAAGCCAAAGATTTATTATAAATAGGCAAAAAGAAACGAAACAGGTGTATACAATAATTTTTATGTAACGAAATATAATATTTGTTCAGCTATTAAATACGTTAACTGCACGTGCAGCAATGAATATTGAATCTACAGATTATCGTATGTAACAATCGTTGAAGTTGTTATACAAACATAGCCGGGCATTAAAATTCAAAATGTCGTCGACTATTGTCATGTGATGTGAATGAAGAAAGTGTCGGGCATATTTGCAAAGTATCTATAGCCTCCAGATTCTTCTCATGACTTAACCTACAAAATTATAGTGTTTCATACCTGGGTGCAGAAATAGGAGCCTTGTATACCCATTTTCACACATGTTGGACACCGGAGGCTGGCCACAGTATTGCAGCCGGCTGTTTCGCACATACCATAAGCAAGTGCCATTTTTAACGAATTCTTCTGAAAAACTTGTATAACGTGACTCGACGAACGAGGCACGAACAGGAAGAAGTAATTTGAGACGATCCTGTGCTGTTTTACCGATTGATTTGGCCGTTAGTTCGTCATGGACGACATTTTCTAATGCCACCGGTGTGCTGCAAAATGAACCTACAACTTTCTAGAATCTGACTTATCGATGCAAGCGAAAACTATAACTAGGCAAAAGTGCATTCTGTACGCAAGAAGCGGTCAGTTTACGTTGATGAAAGAATGTTTAAAAAAATCATTCAGTGTGTGAAATACATATTACATTTTAAATTAGTTGGTATAACATAGTTTCGATTAAACATTATGTGAAGTGGTATTATAGTGAATGCAAAACAAAGAGAATTGAAGATCGTTTAATTATTGAATCATCATGCAGCGCGGGATGTGCTGTTCAAAACGAGCGAGATAAGAAACGAATAAGGGTAAGAAAATTTTCATCAATTTCTTATAGATAATTTTTATTTTATTAATATATATTTTTATTTTATTTTATTAATAATTTACTGCTAATTAAACTTACGTTTTACAAGCGACAATTGTTTCGTTAATGTAACAAATTCACACTGTTTTGAGATCAAAAGATACTCCAAATGTTACATTGTTTGAATATAACTTTCTCGAAAGATACTTTACGTGTATCCATGTTTGAAATTTTGCAAACTTTTTGGAGGAAAGAACAGTATTTATTATATTTCTAACTGAAACTAATTGAATTAATAGATGAAATTAATCTGCAGATTAATCCAGCGGTTTATTAATGGAGCTGCATATGAGTAATTAAGCTTACACTACTGTCTCATAATTGATTAATCACCTAATCGTCATATACATCGACTCTGTTTGTGTGATATCGTTCTGTTAATACGACTGTACAACATAATTAATATTTGTTTAACTAATTG